CTATTTCCCAAGAGGATTTGAAGCTATCTGCCAATATTAGATGGGTCAGTCCACTGGGGTTGTAATGTAATTTCAGCCAATAGGTAAAGATAATTATCCAGAGATTAGATTCGAGTTTACTGACTCCTGCTTCCCGTCGAAGTACAGCATTTGGAACACAGCAGGTAACCTGGAAGATGTTTCTTAGAAATTTTGTTTGAATTCTTTCTAAGGTAACCAAGCTGTTCTATCATCCCACTTGAGCCCCGTATAGCAATTGTGCTTGGGCTTTAGCTGCAAACAACTTAATTGCAGCAGGGATAAATTGTGGTCCTCTGGAAAAAAGTCAGTTTGGATAGCTCATGCAGATCTCTGTGCATGATGAGATACATAGTCCAAGTGGGCATTTCTGCATCCTGAAGGTTGAAAAACTATCCCTAGATATCTAAATAACCTGCTCAATGGGCTGCCTGCCTAAGTTACAACTCCTCCGTTTTGGAGAAAATAAGTATCTTAGTCTTGGTGTAATTCAGGGGTGTCCAACCCCCGGCCTGCTGGCCGCACATGGCCCAGGATGGCTATGAATGCAGCCCAACACAAAATTGTAAACTTACTTAAAACATTATGAGATTTTTTTGGCGATTTTTTTGGTAACTTGATTGCGTGGTTCCCAAGTGTGAACTTTGTAGATGACAACGTCGTGTCACAATGTCACATAAAATAAATGTACGTATACTCTCGCTATTTGTATGCATGTATTTCAGTTTTACGGCAGTGTTCTGCTTCCAGTGTGTTATCTTCTAAGCGCAGACAGTCAAATGGATACCATCAGATGTTACATGTGCTTGTGGTGACTTGGCAAGTGAAATGCAGAGATTATCAGTAATATTTCAATCTACCATTGCAAACTATAGGCATTTAATATTATTTAGAAGACAGGTAAGCATTCTTATTTGATTATTAATGGTACTTCTACACCTCGGCCATGCCTCATGCATTGCCCGCCGCGCTTTAGCTATACAATCGGGGCTCTACCTTGCGCTGCATCGGCCGCCAAGATGTAGAAAGGCCCAAACCTTGCTTTCTATTTTCCTGTCAATTAATTTTCATAATAAAAATAAATATAGTCCCTTATCTATTATTTTTTTAATTCCAGCATGGCTTCTACAACGTCTCAAAAGAAAACAGA